ATAAATATGAGCAAGTCAGTCTTTGTCACACTAAGATGTGAAATGTCAGGCTTACGGCAGTCTGAGGTCTGTCACAAAGTTCTGCATATTGTCCTTAAGAGAAAACGCTTAAAAATGAGTATTCTCTGCTCCCATCTTCTTTTAAAGATACAAGAGGAAACCTGGCACGCTCATACTAGCCCAATGTGAAGTAAAAGGGCAAGGCATAATACATAGCATTTTACCAGATCTGCAACAACACAAACATTCAGCAGATGTTAGAAATTGCAGAAATGTCATTATACCTCAAAAAAAATATAGGAATGCTGCAGAGCATGCATTAGAATAAACCAGATATGAAATAATTTCATTATCAGTATTCCTAAATTGGAGAAGATGCATCTACCCTTACATTTTAAGTTGCATTATCTGTATTGCAGAGAAGGAAAATGAAAGTGGAGAGGGTTGGAAAAAAGAGGTGAGGGAGAAGTGTTGCATATTATAACTGTATGTCCCTACATATCTGTAAACTCAAGATGTGTGCTCTTCATAAAAGCAAATTCTGCTGTCCATTACAGCAGATGCAATAGACAATCGTACATGAATGTTTTTGTATACAGCCTAATACTGATCAGCTTTAGGGCACTGAAATACCCTGAGACACCTAATAAACTAAAGATTCAAAACATTTATATTTTAGTGCCATCATTTGAAGAACATGTTACACTTAAAATTTATTCCTACAACCCAACAAGACAAGTTTAAACAGAGCAAAAGTAAGCATTAGCCCTCTTCACTAAGCCCCAGCTTCGTGAAAGGGAACACAGGATACAGAGAGAAATGGATAAAGGTGTGACAGAATCCTTTTTCAGTGCATGGGCATCACAACTACCTTTGTTCTAATATGTATAACGCTTTCCCAATACATGAAGAGAAAGAAGTGAAGACAACATACATAGCCAGCTAGTACTTGTCCTACAAACAGGACTTTGAGTGCAAAGCCACCCCATTTAGCTGCAATGCTGCATCACTGTCTCCTTCCCTACGCACCAGGCACACAGTGCCATGAGCAAGAGACAGCATGCAGCACTGCAAACATGAAAAGAACTACAAGCAAGCAACTGCGAAGTCAATTGCACGTTAATCTCACGCATTAAGACAGACAGGTATGAATTTCAGAACAGGACTTGGTACTGTTACAGACGGTGCGGCAGAGCTGGAGGCTGTAAACTTACGTGAGCCATTGCACATGCTGCCAGTTCTTCCCTACCTCACTGTAAGTCAAGTGTCGAACCCTCAGCACCAACGTAACTGAGCACATCTAAGCATCTTAGATGAAGCAGTAAAAGTATTTTCCAAGATTTTTAAAACTTATTTTAAGCATGAAACCCATGTTATCAGAAAGTCTTAAGACTTAAACAATTGTCAGCTGCATCTTGCTGCATTTTTTTTTTAATTGAATGCAGCACTTTTAATATTCATATAAGGAATGACACAGTGGAACTACTTTCAGGGAAAAAAAAACAAGCCTACGTCAGTGAAAAATTGGGGCTACAGTGCTGGTCAACACTCATCTTGCAGAGCTAACAATCCACTACAAATAGCAGGAATTGAGTGGGAAAGAAGGGCAAGAAATTTACCATCAAAACATTTCTTTTATTATCAGCTACATCCACCAATCATTGCCTCATTAGCTAGCTTATTGCTTGTACAACATACTAGACAGCGTTGAGAGAGAAAAGACTACTAATACATCAGCAATCCCCTTAAGTGGAGGGAAGGAGGGAAGGAGGGAAGGAGGGAAGGAGGGAAGGTTTAATTAAAATAAGAAAGCTAAAAAACCAAAGATACTAATATAATGTAATAGAGCACTGTGGGTTGTCTCTCCAGTGGTGCCTGTACATGCTGCATGTCCTTTATCTTATAAAACTAGCAGAACTGATCAATCTTTAGAGAAACATGAAATGTATCAATCCATATATCTGTAGTTCTTTAACCCAACAAAAAGTTAATACCTTAGATCATATTGAAAGTTTGTGTGCTTCTCCTCCCCCCAGGATTTGACTTTTTTTTTCTTCTTCTCCTTAATTACAACTCCCAACACTTTTCATCACCACACTAAATATACAAAAACCATAAAAGACAACTCTATCAGCAACTCTCATTCACTTCCTCGTACGTTTTGCCAAGCAAAATAATCCACAGCATGAGAAACCCAAAAGGGATTTCCCAAAGCAAGAATTTTCTGACCACTGCTTTCCCTCCTCCCAGGTTTTGAATTTAAGATTCTAAGCAGTCTCAAACATGACGTAGTATCTTCGAAAAAGTGATCAAAACCAATGTTGAGTGTATGAAAACACAGATCTGTGCAGCAGAAAAACATGCACAAGAACTTCAACTCCTAATGAAATTATTCAAAGGACTACAAATTCAACAGGGATTCCTTAGAAATGGATCAGATTCCTGCAGAAGAAACAGAAGCACTCTCCTTTGGATGAGTACCCAGTGCTCAACTAAATGGTTGTGGGTTTCTTTCTTTCCTTTTAATAGAGTGAGGTCATCTTGCTTTCACTGGTCCTCTGTTTTGAGAAATGATCATCCAGCCATTCCGCCAGATGCAGGAAGTTAACAAAATGAGAACTGTGTTTACGTTTTTCTATACTCTTCCAGTTATAGTTACATAGCTTTTACTTAGAAAAATAACAGATTTAAATAAACAGCTTTTTGTGGATTTTAAGCTGGGGATTTTAAAGTTACCTAAGAACAACTAGAAAAGTTTGTAAACAGAAAAACTAGTATGCTCAATTAGTTAAGCATTTATCAATGCTAACATCCTTTTTGTTATTTTGAAGATGTATAGTTTGACTATCCTATTGTCAAATCAAGAGAGAAAAACCTTTTATACCAGAGTACAGGGAACAAACATGTATTTGTCTTGTGCAGGAACTCCTAATCAATAGCGTGTTTGAAGTGTTAAAAGGAATGTGGAAGACTAGATTTAATACACATGTAGACATATTTTAAGTTTTCTCGGTTTGAAAGAAAAAAAGGTAAAAATTGTTTTCAAAAGAAGGTTAATGAATGATTAAGCTTTTTTTATACACAGGAACTATATATACATACACACATATATAGCTTGTATACAAGTGTGTGTATATATATGTATACATGTGTATATATACACAAGGCACTTTTTTATATATATATATATAAAAATACGCGTGTGTGTATATATATATGAGGCTGGTTTGAAAGCCCAGCTTATGTAGGAACTGGGGAGAAACAACGTCCGCTGGGCAGGGAAAAGGAAGGAAGGAAGGAAGGAACTATGTGGACATCTGCTCTTATAATTCGGAAAGAGTCAGGAAAATATTTTTGCCTACAATATGCTGTAAAATATATCATTCTTTACTACCTTTGAAATATTTTTCAAGAGATTGGGGCTTTTGAGAAAGTATTGAGAAAAGGGCTTTTGATCAAGTATTTGAAACCTTTCTGAAGGAACACACAAATCTTTCCATCTTTCACTAAGTGTGAATGAGAGAAGCGTGCACATATTAAGATACCCATCCTCTTATTCAGGTTTCGGAGGGGGAGGGGGGGGGAACAGGACAACACACCATAGACTATTTTATTGTTTCTTCTGATAACTTATGCCAAGGAAAAAAATTTTCTTGTCCCTTCTCCTTCTCAAAAAGTCACCTGAATGCCAAATATAGCTACATAATTTGCAAATGGAACTTGCACAACACATTTGTTTGAGAATCTGGAGAAGACAAATAAGCGGTACTCCAATATCACTGCAAGAAGTTATATTCTTGGGAAAAAAACAAAACATTGCATATCCATATGATAAATGAATTAGTATTAGGTTGACACAGAATCTTTCCAGATTTGAAAAATCTCTGAACAAGTCCCAGAAGATCATGAACCCACACCCTCCATCACTGGGGAGAAGTAACACTCATAAAACGATTTTTATGCAACTTGTGGGTCACAGTTTAGGAAGTGTTTAAAAATAATAAAGAGCAATAATAATTTAAAACGTGGGTTTTTTTTTTTTCTTTCCATTATTACCTTTCCCAGTCCATGCACATTGACCATCACTAAGTATTATACCAAAGCCAGTGCCTAAATCTTTTTCCCATGATACTTGTAGATAATACGTTTCTTCTGGATCAGACACTAGATGAATTCTGTTCAAAGTCTTCTCCATTTTCCAGACACCTGTTTAGGAAGCAAGATAATCTTGTTATAAACAATGGCTTATTTTCCAGATGTGCTTAGCAGTTTTACCTAACTAGCTTAAAAAAAAAGATACAAAGCATACTTAAAATTTTATTTTACTTTCCTGTACAAATTTGTTTTTTCAGAGAACTGATGATATTTCCAAACAGAAAACTGGATTACAATAAGTAAGGTTTAAAAGAACAATGCCAACAATCAAATATATTTGAATAGTCCCAAATTAAGAAACTAAGTGTCAGGAAGCTGGGGAACAGAAAATTACCATACACAAGCACTTCCCTATAGCTATGTTTTTAACTTACTGTTCGCTATCACCCAACATACAGCATATGGAATATAATTGAAAATAATCAATATTCATCTGGAAGAGTAACCTGTGAAAGCATGCTACTAAGCTTCACTGCAAAGCAGAGGTTGTAGTAGATGCTAGCAACCAAATAAATTATTTCAAAAAACGTGGATGCCGAGAAGAACAAAATTGATGATGTTACAGTGATTTTTTTTGCCCAGTATCAAGGCAAATAGACAATCTGTACCTGACCTAAGACTTTCTAAAGAATCCCATGTATTTACACATAGTCTAATCTGACAATAATAAATCCTCAGAGTACTCAAGAACTTTAAAACTGCATTTGCAAATTTGTTCCATAGAATAATGAAGAAACAGCCAATTCTGAGTTAACACTGACATACAGTATTTCCATTGAGAATGCTTCATGTTGTCTAGTACTGGAAGAGTTTGGTTTAGGGTGTTCAGTTGTTTTGGACTTTTTTTTTTTTTTTAAGAATGAAGTGAATGAAAAAGGGCTACATGTTCTCTCACACACTAAAAATAGCGTGTATTGACAAAAGCAGGAAAAATGCAACTGAGGCATTTAAACTACATGGAGTGAGTACAATGGTGCTTGGACAGGTTAGGTATTAAAAGCTCTATCAAGTTTTCCATTGAAAGTGTAGTAATAAGTAATCACAATCAGGCTCATTTCAGGCCCTGAGCAGTTTCTTTGCTCACGGACACTGAGTGCCAAATGTAGATACACATTTAACTACCATTGGCCTTCCAAAAAATTTGGCATTTTCAGGTTAGGAGGAACAGTTTTAACTGCAGTTGACTGCACTGCATGCGAGCTTTGCTCAATTCTGCACACAACAACATCTAAAAATGCCTTTCCCTTGTCCAGACAAGCACACGGTATTCAAAAGCAGCAAAATGCATCAATATAAGACTTGTTTTTCATGCGTAAAGCCGCATTAACAGCTAGATAACAGTTGCATTGTCAATTATATAAACATCCGTTATAGATATCAATAAGGTTAATGAAACAACCCATTAACAACTTCTGATGGCTAATTAAACCCCAATAGAAATCACCTTGCACTAACAAACAGCATTTCTGAACAATAAAAGGAACATCATATAAAGTGCCTGCTACAAATTCCAGGCTGAACTTTGGCTAAACCATGTCACTAGGCACTTCCAGCATTCCTGACTACCCATTACATTTTCATCACCAAATACACAAAGTGCTAACTTAATTTTTCCAGCTTAAAGCTGAAGTACACACAAGCACCACAACATTTGCCTGTTTAGAAAATTTTTCTGAAGAGTTTAGGATTCAAAAACGTTGATAGGAGTAGTAGGAGATAAATCATGTAACTAAACATCGTAAATTCTCACCAACAACAGTAAGAGGGATGACTTTACCATTTACATCCATAAACCACCAATGCTTATATTTATACGCCACATTTCTACTCACAGAAAATGCGCCAGAAACTAAAAAGTTACTTAAAAACAATATTGAAAAATTAGCTTGAGCCCCCAAAAATGTCTTCTATTTCCACAACCAAGCAACCAGCCATTTCAGAAAATCTACAGTACGCCTCTGCACCTGTAAGCAAGAACAGAAAAAGAAATATTTGGGGCATGGAGGCCTGGAACAAGGCCTTTGCAATTAGTGATTATAGAACTAAAGCCATTTTAAAGATTTGTAGTGCAGTAACTGCCTGGACATGAGTCAATGAAGAGCACAGGACAGGCAGCTCAAGTAATGTGCGTAGTATGCTCAAGCACACAGGCATGTACTCTCCTTTGCCTGCCAGATTCCCTTTTGCTGGCTCTGGAAAAAGGGAGTCTCTTATGAAACATTTTCACAAAAGTCCTTCTCTGAAAGACAATGTTTTTAAAACTACTTTAATTATTCTTTTTTACCTAAAGATTGTAAAACAGTCTCATTCAACCCAGACAGCATACAAGGTACTGATGCATATATAGTTTAATAGGGAGTTTTTGCCTGTTCCATTTGCTTCTTATCACAAAGAATTCAGTGAAAACCACCTGCACCAGAGGCTTTCTTTTTAATGTAGACTGTTCATAACAGAAAGCAAAGCAAGAGAGTTGGATTTTCTATTTAAGTGACGATAAAGAGAATGAAGTGTCAGTCCTCAGTCAGAAAAACTGTTGACAAGAGTCACACAGGAAACGAAATTTATTTATTTAAAGATGCACTGACAAAGTCTCTAAGGCCTGAGATGAAATTCATCTGATATCATAATAGTGTGCTGCCCATGCATCCATCTTCACACATTAGTATTTCACTCAAGTGATGTGGAACAGCTAAAAATGAAGGTTCTGTTTAGACATCATTCTTAAGGGGTCTCCACCAGCACAAGGGATGAGCTTGTTAGCAGAACTGAGAAAGCTTCCATACGATTTGTATACCTGGGCTAAAACATGACTTCAATAAAAAGAAACATGTTGAGGAGGTACAATGCCAAAGAATGTTCTGTATTTCACAATAAAATGCCAAATACAGTTGTGAAGCTTTTCAGCATTTTATTGTGCATCTTTCAACAATGTTACAAGACAGCAGAAAATGAAAATACTTATTCTCCCAGATTTTATCTCCTCCATTGTGCTCACTTACCTTTTGAGAGGAGTATTAGCTATTACTACATGTTTAGAAACTGCCTCACAAAGCAGAGCTCAGCCTTGCTTGAGATCTCCAAGCACTCAACTGTTCCAACACATCAGCAAAAGGTTGTATATAATGGCTATTATTTACTTCTTCTCAAGAGGAACAAACCTTCTTCATGAAAATTAGTCTGACCTACACAGCATATACAAACATCACTGCAAACAAAAAATATTGTACCTTACTGCTTTTTTAAAACCCATTCAGAAAAAAAAAAACAACAAAACAACAAACCACTGAACAAAAAACCCACAAACCCCTCTTCCACAAATCTTGTAACAACACAACTCCTCAGAATTTAGTGCAGTGTTGAGTAAACAGACAAAAAACACACACCTAAAGAGTGACTACAAAAAAAATAGCAAAGAAGTTACCTAACTAGTTAGCAACTAGGAATTACCAGTCGCAAAAGAAAAAATACAGAAACTAAATCAGACTATATTCCTTATTAATTTACTATAAGATGAGTGCATGCATCTCATCCACTCTAAAGGCAAAACTTAGTAACATATGTACCCCAGTATATTTCCAAATTAAGAAATTCAGGGGTGGGGGGAGTTGGACATCCTGCTTGAACACCTCAAGTTAGCGGCATGTTCACAGGATTCACAAGTAACTTTGTTCAACATATTTTAAAGATACATTGTTCTATACTTCAAGACGTGAAGGAAACTAGAACACCCTCCTTATAACTAACCTATCTCGATTCACCTGTCTGCTACTATATTCTCTCATCACCCCATCAGCTTTCAACATGCCAAGCATATGTGACTCTTCACAAAACAATACTTGTATGTAAAATGTGATTATGTTCCTACTGTAGTTTCTGACCCAGGGCTTTTTTTTTTTGGTGGGGGAAACGCTGTGCACTGCCAAAGTCTGAGGGGCACACGAAGAGCAGATTTGCCAAAGCAGATTCTCCAGCTCCCCTTCCTCAAATTAACACTCAAAAAAACCCCCTACTTTATAAATAATTTCAGTTTGGCTACCAATGAGTGTTCTCTCCAGGAATGCAGAAAACTGATAACACCCTTCCAAGAAATTTAATTGAATCTACATTTCTTTAGTCATTTCCACATAAGATGTCATATATACATGAATTGGAGAGTTAGCAGAGCACGAGGGCTGCAACAAAACAGGTTACCCTTGCTGTTGCTGACATCATTATCTCCCAAACCCTAAATGTAGATTCTAAGGTGAAAAAGTTATGTACATTTCAATCTAGTATCTAAATAAAGCTTTAAAATGCCAATTATTCAACAGGGTAATTCATTGTCATAACCACCACACATGCAAAATTCCAGCCAACAGTCCTGTATGTGCTTTTCTAAGAATCTACCTTTATACATTCAAAAAGTAGTCCCGCTAGAAATATTATTAGTAAAGTTTTAAACTAATGCCAAACCATTTCTCTGTTGTGACTACTGTCTCAAATAATCCCTTAAGGCTACACCTACAACTGAAGCATACAGAGTCACAGCTGTTTTAAGTACTCTGGGCCAGACACTCAGCCAGAACAAAATAACTGCAGATGTAGTGACAAAGGGGTCTGAAAACTACATGTCAACTTGGAACCTGAACTTCCACAAAATTGGTCACACAAGCTTGTAGAAGCTGGTACTGCTTTTTAAGATTTTACTAACATCCCCATCTCCACCAAGTCATGATTTCATTATTAAAGACAGACAAAAATATAAAGGATGAAGGAGAGTTGAAGCTTTAAGAGCTAGTTTCATTTTCTCATATTTGGGTGGAAAGGTAGGAACACAGGTAAGAACTGTATTAATGCTCAAAATGGTTAAAACAGCCACTTGAATTTTGGCACTCTCACTAACAGTTCAGCTGCTGCTGAAGCTTATAAAAAAAAATCATTGCATAAAACCAGACTATTTTTATAGCTATGCAACAAACTAAATTACTGCAATGAGACCCTCACTATTGCAGTCTAAAAAGCACCTCAGAGTCTATTAGACCAGAGAAGTACCTTTGAGTG